ACTCAAAATTAATAATCCTCTATAGCAAGTAAATAAATTGGGGTGCAAGTTCAATGCTATAGTATTCTTCTTTTAGGGATCAATGCTATGGGATTCACATAGACATGGCACCACAATCCTATGCTATTTTCTTTTGCACTTTCGAATCCTGCAAACTAAAAGTCCCAGACATATTTCCCTATACTTGCTATCTGAAACGCGCACTGCAATTTTTCGCTATAGTTTTTCAATACGGCAAAATCACAGTAAAATTATACATCACTTATGAATATCATATGCAGTCTAATTGTTCATATGTGTTCGATAGTCATGTTTTCGGCAGAGCTTTTCAGAAATCAACTCGAGATCCCATATAAACAAGTGAGTCATAAACCTATAATAGCATATCAAAAGTCAAACACCTAAACAAATACTGTTGAAAAAACGAATAATCACGGCTAATGCTAATACATAAATGTCACTCCTAGACTTTGTCAAATAACATTATTCTTCGGTCAACATTAGCGGTAAACTTGGACTTAACATGAATGGATAATAACAAAGAGTTTTCCTTCGTATATACCAGTTCATTAAATCTTTATGGAAGAACCAACTAGGTGAGAGAGAATAATCCATACTATGTGTTCTTAATCATAATTGATAAGAGCCCTCAAAAAATTATAGATGACAAGACGAGAGATATGCGAGGTATCAAGAAAAATTCCACATGAAAGCATTGTGTTTTGGACAGACATTGAAAAACACTATACAATCTATTATTATTTGAAACAAGAGTCAAACAAGCCACTATGTTTTTTCTTGGACTTCTCTTGATGGTTCGTTGGGTGAAACCCCATGTCCTTTGCCGGACTCGGCGGCGGTGACATGGTGTGTCATTATCCTTTTGACGTAGTCACTGGAGTACTTTGGTCCTAGTCACGTCGTAGTGTGTTGTTTTAGAAGCAGGTAATATCATTGCAGATCCTATAACTTGTTCTGAATGTGATGGTTTAGTCCTATAATTTGTAAAATGCAACTATTTGGTCCTAGAACTTGTCTCTGATGTGCACATTTAGTCCTCGGCCAATCACGAGCAGCCAGTGGAGCCAGCTGAACTGAGCGGGTCAGCGTTGCACGTTTTTCAAATACCCCCGCAGTTTATCGATTTCTTGATAAAGTCAACATGCAAGCTTTTGTGAAGTGAACCAACCACTTCTTTGACTGATTTTAAAGTGTTACGTGGTCTCGTCTGTTGACGGGCCAAATTGGTTGGTAGGCCTGATACGATAGGATTGACTTGCCAATATTTGCACATCCACTTTTTTCTCGAGAACATGCACATCCACTCGTCGAATGATTAGTCGAAAACGTGTTCGTGTGACCGTGTCAGGACAACGACAAGGCATCGATGTTGGCCAAGATCAATTCTTGACACGGACAGTATAAGTAAATGAACCACGGTTTACGATAAAAACATACACACTCGTGACGGGTGGAAGGAAAAGGATAATCTCACAGACACACGGGAGAAGACACATGCGCATGGATCAAGTTGGCGATCCAGACGACACTCAAGTTGAGGTAGATGTTGTTCACCATGCGGATGCAGCGGAAGCCCTTCCCTGCTCTCCGTTAACAGCACCGACTCGTCCATTGCTCTGTTTGGATACTCTAACTCAGTTAAATGTTAGAGTTAGATTTTAACCCTAAACTAACTCTAGCTAAAGAGGTGTTTGGATGACATGGTTAGATGGAGTGCGGATACGGCGAGGCGCCTTCACAAACGGTGCGAGAGAAAGGGAGGGAGAGGACGAGAAGTTTCGAAGAAGTGGGGAGGGATCTGCTGGGAAGAGCGAGAGAAGAATGTGTTATTTAGTGATTTTGAGAAGAACTAACCCAAATAAACATCTCTTGGATGGGTTAAATTTTTTAAACGAGTTAAATGCATCTGACCCACTAACCATCCTGTTTGAATATTTTTGAGTTAGTTGAGTTCAAACTAACTCAAACTAACTCTAACCATAGATCTAAACAGGGTCATGTACTCCGGGTTGTAGCCCGCAAGCTTCACCTACAGTCACCCAGATGTCAATCACAGGCCACATCATGTGATGCGAGCATGGAAATCGCAAACGTGATGGGTACGTGCATTGACCGGCTAGCACAGGTATTACCGTCACAACTCACAAGATGAAAAGCACTATGTTTGTACTGTACTTTGTAGTACTATAATCCAGGTTGCATGGTGGGTTAGTTTTCGGCAGAGCTTTTCTTGGCTGCATGGTGGGTTAGTTTTCGGCAGAGCTTTTCTTTGTAGTACTATAATCCAGCTGGCTTCACTTGGCTGCTTGTAATTGGACGAGAAATGAATGTGCACATCTGCACATCTGAGACAAGTTTTAGGACCAAATACTTGCCTTTCTATAAGTTGTAGGACCAAATTATCACATTCAACACAAGTTCTAAGACCTACGGTGCTATTACCTCTTTCAAAAGGCATGTATCATGACACGAAGCCTCTTTCGCTGGGCACTCGCGTTTGGTGGTCTTGTTTGTCCCATCTCGTTTATACAGGTCCTTCTCGTCAGCTTTTCTTGTCCAAACTGAGAAGCCCGATACTTTCTTTCAAAGACGTGAGACCGCTTTTGATCAGCTTCCTCGGATATTTCTAGCTGTGGTTTCAACACTCCCGTGCTTTCTTAAAGTAGGCTTTCGGCCTGCTCTATAAATAAAGCAACCAGAGTGCCGAGGTCACAAGCTACAATATATAGAGGGAGAAAGTACTACACAAGAAATAATGTACTTGTTGCTGTTGACTTTGATCTGAAGTATCATATGTGTTGGCTGGCTGAAAAGGATCAGCACATGATGCTAACATTCTTAGTGACAACATGAGTCGTCATGATGCAATCAACATCCCCGATGGCAAGTTCTACCTAGGAGATGCTGGCTATGCATGTCGGCCAGGTATTCTTCCACCCTTCAGGAAAACCAAGTACCATCTAAACGAGTTCTCTGGTAGGAACTATCCTAGGACTTCTCAGGAACTGTTCAATCTTAGACACTCCAGCCATAGAGTAACGGTTGAGAGGGAATTTGGAGCTGTGAAGAATAGATTTAAGATTCTGAATCAGAAGTCATTCCACCCTTACCCTATCTAGGTCAAGCTTGTTCTTGCATGTTGCATCATTCACAACTGGATCCTACAATGGGGAGTTGATGAACTTGTGCCGGAGGAGGAAGATGTGACTCTTGATGAGGTGATCATCTCCGGCCATGTTGTGGAGGCGTTTGATTACGAGGCGTGGAAGAACAAAAGGTTGGAATGGGCTCAGGCAATGTGGGATAATAGAGGCCAGACAAGGATCTGAAGAAGAAGAAGAAGAAGAAGAAGAAGTAACACAACAGCAGCAGAGGAAGAGGAAGAGGAAGAACTTCCATCTAGTTAGCATCGTTGAACTTTTCCCTATTCAGGCATGTTGGCTCTTAATAACTTGTACTGTTATTTGATAGCACCTAGGATAAATAGCCATTTATTTTCTACGATGTTGAGTGTGTGTGGTAAGGTCATCATTTGTGAAAAGTGATGATCACATCTTTAGCCGTTTGCAACGAAACAACATATTGTTTGTCTAATAACAACTAACAACGACGTAGGCAACCAAACAACGTACTAATTAATTGCTCCCATGCATGGAGCCGAATGCAGACAACGAAACTATATACAGATATTAGGTTTTGGCATGTACTAGTTTAACAGGTCCAATCAATCAAAACAAGTATGCAAAATACAAAATACGTTAAAACAGACATGTGAACCAAACGCACCTTGGGCTACCGTAAGAATACCCGCTGAATCACCAAACTTGTAAAGGTCATCACCGTGAACACTAATCAAAAGATACACTCCTGTCCTCTTCGCTTCGCAAGCTAATGAATCAGGAAGGGGCTTTGCTACACACACGGACGATTTTTACAGGCTTTCACGGGCTGTCACATGTGGTATAATTTAATTGAGATTAAGGGGAGGAAGGGCCCCACCCTCCCTGAAAATCAGGGGGCGGATAAGTTAATTAGCACTAAAACCTCCGTAAAAGCCCGTTGTTTGCCTGTGAGTATAGGATTATTGATCAGGAAGTAAACTTTTGTTTTCTGAGGGGAACAATCAGGAAGTAAACTTTTGACTTAACTATTGGTGGAAAAGAATCTCGAAAAGATATTGGCGAGAAGAACGACATGAGGGAGTGAAGTTCATCTCGCTTGGCACTAGGGATGAAAATGGAGTGAAAACTTTCCCTTTTTCCGAAGGAAAAATGGAAACGGAGAGGAAATATGGAAACGGAAACGGAAATTTACAAAACAGAAGTGGAAACGGAATTTTCTATGCGGAAACGGAAACAAAAACGGAACGGAGTTTTCCGGTGAAACATGCATGGAAATGGAACTTTCTGTTTCCGTGAATATGGAATTTCTGTTTTTACTATAGACCTATAGCTGTTTTGTAGCCCAACCACCAAAAAGAACACAATGACACAGTTAGTAGAATGAATCTAAGGCCCAACTCCTACTACCACACATGTACTCAGCTTGACCCTATACGCAATTGTTCAGTACTACTACAATACTACGTTAAGTTGCTAACATAATGATATTATTTTGTAGCCATGTTAACGACTCATTAAATTTGTTTGTTTTTGTGTGTATTTTCTATGATTCAAGGGGTTTTTAAGTCCCGATCAATGCCTATTTCTGTTTCTGTATCCATTTTGTATTCGCTCCATGCCCATTTCCGGTAGTATCTGTTTCCGTATTCATTTCCGGAGTTTCTGTATTCGTTTCCGCTTCTGCAAAGAAATGTGAAAACAAATATGATAGCACTCAGTTCCGTCCGTTTCCGCTCCGTTTTTATCCCTACTTGGCACTATGGACTGTCTAGATGGCTGTTTGGACATGCGAACCGAAAAATAATTGCATTCAGCACTATGAACTGATAGATCAACGCCAACCTACAAGCAGGAAGGATGAAGGCTTCCAAACAGAGCTTCACAGGTCCATCCTCCTCTCCCCGCGCCAAAGATAGTCCAACTCCAACGCAGATGGAGAAGACGGTGGTTCTGTACCCCGGCCTCGCCGTGAGCCACTTCGTCCCCATGATGCGGCTCGCCGGCTCCCTCCTCGAGCACGGCTACGCCGTCTCCGTGGCGCTGACCATCGACCCCGCCGTCACGGGGGACGCAGCGTTCTTGGCAGCCGTCGGCCGCGTCGCCGCCGCCATGCCGTCCGTCCGCTTCCACACGCTCCCGCCTGTGGAGGACCCGCCCAGACTAGCCCCCGGCGCGCAGTTCCTCCTCAGCTACTTCCACCTCCTGCGCCGCTACAACGACCGCCTCCACGACTTCCTCTGCTCCTCCACGCGCGTCCACGCCGTGGTCGTCGACTCGCTGTCAGTGTCAGCTGATACGCTGGAGGTCACCAAGAGGCTCGGCATCCCCGGGTACGTCATGTTCACCTCCGGCGCCGCCTCCCTCGCCGCCTTCGCCCAGCTTCCTTATGTCCTCGGGGAGGGCGGCCGGAAAAGCTTCAGGGAGCTGGGCGACGCCCCTGTCGAGTTCCTTGGCCTTCCGCCGGTTCCGGCCTCGCACCTGTTCGCCGAGGTGCTCGAGGACCCGGAGAGCGACACGTACAAGACGACGATGGCCGGGCTGTCCCGGATCCCGGACACCGATGGCATCCTGGTGAACACGGTCGAGTCGCTGGAGGCTCGCGCGGTGGCCGCTCTCAGGGACCCTCGGTGCCTCCCCGCCGGCCGGGTCATGCCTCCGGTGTACTGCGTCGGACTCGGGCCATTCCTCGGCGGCATCGAGGGCGCGGCGGACGAGCGGCGCGAGTGCCTCGCCTGGCTAGACGCGCAGCCGGACCGCAGCGTGGTGTTCCTCTGCTTCGGGAGCACGGGCGCAGCGAACCACTCGGCGGAGCAGCTCAAGGAGATCGCCGCCGGCCTGGAGAAGTCCGGCCACCGGTTCCTGTGGGTCGTGCGAGCGCCCCACGGCGGCGACCCGGACCTCGACGCGCTCCTGCCAGACGGGTTCCTGGAGCGCACCGGCGGCCACGGCCTCGTCGTCAAGCAGTGGGCGCCGCAGGCCGAGGTGCTCCGCCACGGGGCCACCGGCGCGTTCGTGACGCACTGCGGGTGGAACTCGGTGCTGGAGGGCGTGGCGGCGGGCGTGGCGATGCTGTGCTGGCCGCTCCACACGGAGCAGAAGATGAACAAGCTGCTGATGGTGGGGGAGATGGGGCTCGCCGCGGAGATGGCCGGGTGGCAGCGGGGGCTGGTGGAGGCCGGCGAGGTGGAGCGCAAGGTGCGGCTGGTCATGGAGTCCGAGGAGGGCGGGCAGCTCAGGGCGCGCGCGGCGCAGCACCAGGTGGCCGCGGCCGCGGCCTGGAGCGACGGCGGGTCGTCGCGGGCGGCGCTCGCCCTGTTCTTGTCGGACGTGGACCGCCGGTGGCAGGCTCGCGCTCGCGGCGGGGAAGCTGCGTGAGCTCGGTCCGCCTACGCCCTACGGTACGTGAAGTAAAGTTGGTAGGCGTGGTCAGCAATGTCACCCGCACAAAGTGCTCCTACACTGTACGTGAGCGAGTGATTGAACCAGACATGTTTGACAGCGGGCATTTCTGTAATAAAATAAATGTTTGAAAGCGGGCAAAATTTGGCAAAAATCTTGCCACCACGCACTTGACCTACACTTTGGTCCCGTGCCGACCGTAGTTAGTGTCTCCACCTACACGGCTACAATGCTACTCCTCCCGATTCACCCACCTCTTCTTTTCTTTTCTTTTCTTTTCTTTTCTTTTTGAGATCAAGGCGAGTTTTATTCCATAATAATCATGTCCTTTACAAGAGTAGGGATTAGGAATGCCGGCGGATCACGCCACTCCTCCTCCAATTTAGAATTTAGACCTAGAACAAAACCGAGCAAGCTCATGTGCGGCAACATTAGCTTCTCGATTACAGTGACGCATTGTCGTCGTGCGAAAAGAACTTAAGAGTTCCCTGCAGTGGTCGATGATCACCGCCCCTGAGGCCCTGTGCTCCGACGGGTGATGAATTGCATTCACAATCACCATGGAATCGCTCTCCACCGTGATCGCATGTGTGCCCAGATTTTGTGCCATTCTCAGACCAAGTAAGAGCACTGATGGTTCCATACTGGGCACGTCTAGAGCATGCTGCTTATAGCTCACTGCAGCCGCAATAAATATCCTTCCAGTATCTCTGATAATTGTTCCTAGAGCACCCGAACCAGAATTGGCGTCAAAAGTTGCATCGACATTTAGTTTAACCGATCCCCTTGCTGGTCTTGTCCAAGTTTTCTAAGTCCTCGCATGCTTCATTTTTCCGGTGATACAGTTTGCGGCAACGCCTCGAATACTTAGACATGTACGACCAGGAGAACCAATAGTACATCCATGTGTAATCTGTCTTCGTTCCCACCAGAGTAACCAACAAGCCACCGTGATTAATTATGTGCTATTTGTAACAGTTTTGCTAAAGCACATTTAGATGTGTAATAAGTATTGCACATCTAAGTCCTATGTCATTGATCTTATGTTGAGATTCGTGTGGATACTTTCTTTTTTTTTTTTATGCTTGATTCACTCACTTAGATATGCAATAAATAGAGCACATTTAGATGTGCCCTAGACACATTCTATTTGTAATTGTTGGTGTTAGGAAACGTTGCATGTCTATATCTATATCTATACCTATTATTAAAAAGAATGGATATTTTTGGTTTGATTTCGCTTTGTTTCGTTCCGTTTAGGTGATTTTTGGGTTTCGTGTACGCTCGTTATACTGCCTCCTTACTTGCCCAGTTTAAACCAATTGGAAACCGACTCAACCAACTAGGCAAGCAACGAGGCAATGGTCCGGAAGTCCATCTAGCGGTAGCAGGCCAGCCTTTTTTTTCTGGGCTAGCGGTAGCAGCCTGGCCTTTTTTTTCTAGAGAGCTAGCGGTAGCAGCCTTGTCGATGGATTGAAGGCAGCCAGGCCAGCACACATACATACGTAATCAGTTTTAGCTAAATCCGCTGCCTAAAAAGAACTAAATAGTTCCGCCATGCTTTCTTACATTAAATCGTGTCAGTTTATATACAGCATTAACTTGCTAGGTAGGAGTAACCAGCAAGCTGATTTGAGAATCATTAACCAAATGATTAAGGCATGGACGTAGAAAGCAATCAAATCTATGGGCACCGGTTGTGGCCAAATTTATCTGTATTCATGATATGCATGCATATGATGCACAAGAAGAAATTAAGTCTACATTCAGTCCGGTGGTGGACTAATTAAACTGGACTCACGACATGCATGCACATGATGCACAAGAAGGAATTAACTCTGAATGCCCCGGTACTTGTCTAATTAGGGGCTATGGAATTTATGAGATGCATAATTAAAATATAAAAAGCAAGAATTGCATGTCATGATCAATTGGACATTGTGAGAGGAAGTTAAATCTGAATTTCAAGGAAAGACGGGAGATGAAATCTCCTAGATTTTAATGGAAGGAAAAATAGTGCATAGAGAGATTAAATACGGATTGGGCTAAGAGCACTTTTGAACACAGTATATGTACTTATTTAGATTTAGATACTCCCTCATTTTTCCCTTTAAAGCGAGTAGTAGCTTCTTTAACGAACACCGTTCAAAAGCTGTTTCTCACCAAACTTAATTACACATTAATTTTTTTCTTTTATTATAACGCACGGGCATTTGTGCTAGTAAAACGAAAAAAATTCTACGCACACGCAAGATCTATCAGAGAGATGCATAGTAATAAGAGGGGAGAGTGTGTCTATGTACCCTCATAGACCGTAAGCGGAAGCGTTTGACAACGCGGTTGATGTAGTCGAACTTCTTCGCATTCCAACCGATCGAGCACCGAACGTACGACACCTCCACATTCAGCACACGTTCAGCTCGATGACGCCCTCCACCTTTTTGATCCAGCAAGACGGCGAGATAGTGGATGAGTTCCGGCAGCACAACAACGTGGTAACGGTGATGGTGAAGTGATCTCCGCGGGGCTTCGCCTAAGCACTACGAAAATATGACCGGGGATGTAAACTGTGAAGGTATATAGGACGCCAGTTTGGGACACCTAGGTGCCTGGGCACCTTGCCTATCCATCGTTAGATCGTGTTTAGTGACAGATTTGGAAACCAATGTAAATGATTTAATTACTAGTTAATTTGGCATTAATTCTTTAACTGTCCCATGCATGCATGTCACATCATAGAAAAGGAAGGTGATTAAAATACCATAATGAATAAAAATCAACATTTATTACCTCCTTATATACCAACTTGTGTATCTATGGGGTGCCCCCATCCCTCGTATATAAAGGAGTGGAGGAGGGGAGGGTCGGCTGATACGTCGCCAACGTATTTATAATTTTTGATTGCTCCATGCTATATTATCTACTGTTTTGGACTATATTGGGCTTTATTTTCCACTTTTATATTATTTTTGGGACTAACCTATTAACCGGAGGCCCAGCCCAGAATTGCTTTTTTTTTTGCCTATTTTAGTGTTTCGGATAAACGGAATATCAAACGGAGTCCAAACGGAATAAAATCTTCGGGAACGTGATTTTCTCACCGAACGTGATCCAGGAGACTTGGACCCTGCTCCAAGGAACAATAGAGGTGGTCACGAGGGTGGGGGCGCCCCCCCCCTACGGCGCGCCCCCTGCCTCGTGGGCCCCTCGTTGCTCCTCCGGCGTACTTCTTCCTCCTATATATACACACATACCCTCAAACGATCAGAACAGGAGCCAAAAACCTAATTCCACCGCCGTAACTTTCTGTATCCACGAGATCCCATCTTGGGGCCTGTTCCGGAGCTCCGTCGGAAGAGGGCCGTCATCACGGGGGGCTTCTACATCATCCTAGCCTCTCCGATGAAGTGTGAGTAGTTTACCTCAGACCTTCGGGTCCGTAGTTAGTACCTAGATGGCTTCTTCTCTCTCTTTGAATCTCAATACAAAGTTCTCCCCCTCTCTTGTGGAGATCTATTCGATGTAATCTTCTTTGCGGTGTGTTTGTTGAGACCGATGAATTGTGGGTTTATGATCAAGTCTATCTATGAATAATATTTGAATCTTCTCTGAATTCTTTTATGTATGATTGGTTATCTTTACAAGTCTCTTCGAATTATCCGTTTGGTTTGGCCAACTAGATTGATAGTTCTTGCCATGGGAGAAGTGCTTAGCTTTGGGTTCGATCTGGCGGTGTCCTTACCCAGTGACAGAAGGGGCAGCAGGGCACGTATTGTATCGTTGCCATCGAGAATAACAAGATGGGGTTTATTTCATATTGCATGAATTTATCTCTCTACATCATGTCATCTTGGTTAAGGCGTTACTCTGTTTTTAACTTAATACTCTACATGCATGCTGGATAGCGGTCGATGAGTGGAGTAATAGTAGTAGATGCAGAATCGTTTCAATCTACTTGTCACGGACGTGATGCCTATATACATGATCATGCCTAGATATTCTCATAACTATGCTCAATTCTATCAATTGCTCAACAGTAATTTGTTCACCCACCGTAGAATACCTATGCTCTTGAGAGAAGCCACTAGTGAAACCTATGGCCCCGGGGTCTATTCTCATCATATCAATCTCCATCACTTTAATTTTGCTTTGCTTTTTTACTTTGCTTTTACTTTTTACTTTGCATCTTTATACCAAAAATACCAAAAATATTATATCTACCAGATCTCACTCTCGTAAGTGACCGTGGAGGGATTGACAACCCCTAATCGCGTTGGTTGCGAGTAGCTATCGCTTTGTGCAGGTACGAAGGACTTGAGCGTGGGCTCCTACTGGATTGATACCTTGGTTCTCAAAAACTGAGGGAAATACTTACGCTACTCTGCTGCATCATCCCTTCCTCTTCGGGGAAAACCAACGCAAGCTCAAGACGTACCAAGAAGGATTTCTGGCGCCGTTGCCAGGGAGTCTACGCAAAAAGTCAACATACCAAGTACCCATCACAACCCCTATCTCTCGCATTACATTATTTGCCATTTGCCTCTCATTTTCCTCTCCCCCACTTCACCCTTGTCGTTTTATTCGCCCTCTCTCCTTGTCCTCCTCCCTCTCTATTTGCCCGTTTCTTGTTTGCTCGTATGGTTGGAATAGTTGTTTATTTATTACTAAATAGAGAACCTAAGATCTATGGATCCTCATCCGCTTGCTAATCTTTTTAAGAGATCTAATTATGATGAACCAGTTGCTAGTAAGTTTTGTGCACTAGATTACCTTTATGAGGTTTTGCTTGAAATTCGTGAATCTGAAAAGTGTGATGAATTACTTTATGAAGCGATTCATGATAGATCTTTGAATAAAAAGCATGATTGCAATGATTTTACTATAAACTCTCTTGATGTCAATTGTGTTAATAATATGCAAAACCCTAAGCTTGGGGATGCTAGTTTTGATATGTCCTCTACTTGTTGCAATGATCA